AACAAAACTCACCACGAAAGAAAATAAAAGAGCACAGAGACTCAATTTATCACAAGAAAGCAGTTGAAATAAAAGAGAAGGCAACACAAAATACAATGCAAAAACACAATGAAGATATGAAAAAGGCTGACTACGCTTCAACTTGCAATGTGTTTAGAACAGCTTATAAGATTGGCAAGCATGGGCGTCCCTTTACAGACATGCCAATAGATGTCCAGTTGCAAGTCTTAAATGGTGTCAAGATGGGCAGAGTTTTGCACTCTAATAACTCATGTGCAAATATGATGATGAAGTGCTTCGAACGACTAGTCATGCAACACATCAAGACTGTCCTGCCCCCCTCCCTGGATCCCTTCCAGTTTGCCTATCGGCCCAACCGCTCAACCGATGATGCCATCTCCACTGCACTCCACTCGGCACTCACACACCTGGACAAAAATGACTCATATGTTCGAATGCTGTTCATAGATTTCAGTTCAGCATTCAACACCATAATCCCCCAACAGCTCATTCAAAAACTGGTCCAGCTGGGGCTCAACACCTCACTGTGCAACTGGCTGTTGGATTTCCTCACCGGAAGACCTCAAGCAGTACGGGTTGGCAGTAATACATCCAGCACCATCATTTTAAACACGGGGGCCCCGCAGGGATGTGTGCTGAGCCCCCTCCTCTTCACTCTGCTGACCCATGACTGCACCCCATCATACAGCTCCAACCTCTTCATCAAGTTTGCGGACGACACAACGGTGGTGGGTCTCATTAGCAACAGGGATGAGACCGACTACAGAAGTGAGGTGAGACGCCTGGCCACGTGGTGTGCTGACAACAATCTCTCTCTGAATGTGGAGAAGACGAAGGAGATTGTTGTGGACTTCAGGAGAATGCACACCCAACATGCTCCTCTGACCATTGACGGAGCGTCTGTGGAGAGAGTGAGCAGCACCAAGTTCTTGGGTGTGCACATCACAGAGGATCTCTCCTGGACGCACAACACCACAGCACTGGCCAAGAAATCACAGCAGCGTCTCTTCTTTCTCCGCAAACTAAGAAGAGCAGGAGCACCAGCCCCCATCATGTACACTTTCTACAGAGGCACCATCGAGAGCATCCTGTCGAGCTGCATCACTGTGTGGTTTGGAGCCTGCAATGCGTCCTGTCATAGAACCCTCCAACGCATAGTGAGAGCTGCAGAGAGGATCATTGGTGTCTCTCTCCCCTCCCTCCAGGACATTTACAGCACCCGTCTCACTAAAAAAGCCCTTTGCATAGCGGCTGATCCCACACACCCAATGCAAAGCTTCTTCAAGCTGCTGCCGTCGGGGAGGAGACTGCGGAGTCTCCAGGCCAGGACCAGCAGGCTGAAGGACAGCTTCATCCATCAGGCTGTCAGGAAGCTTAACTCCCTCCCGATTCTGCCCCCTCTCCCCTCTCTCCTCCACGGTCTCACTGAACTCTGTCACACACACACAAACACACACTCTCTCTGACTCACTCACTGGCCTGCACCAGTTACCAGTCACTTTGTGGAGCATTGGACTGCCATTACCTCATAAGACTTTGTTGTTACACTTTCTCTTACCGTACATTACCAAATCTCCATTTGCACTATTTGCCTATTTGCACTACTCTGCCTGGTTTACACTCAATGTCACTTACCCATTATATTGTATATTATATAGCTTTCTTGTTATATGTAAAATTGTATTTATTTAAATTTTTACTTTTTAATTATTTTACTTGCATTTTTTAATCACTTTTATATTTAAATATATTTAAATGTTCATTTGCTATTTATCTAGGGAGTGAAGAGTAACGCAATTTCTATTCTCCGTATGTCCTGTACATGTGGCAGAATCGACAAATAAAGTTGACTTTGACTTTGACTTTGACTTTGAATATACTGGATCACATTGCAGCTGAAATGAAAAAGAAGGTAGTCAATGACATAGTGATGAATGAAAGAAAATTGTGTGTGCTCATTGATGAATCCACTACAATAAGTGGAAAGTCTGTGCTTGTCGTGTGCCTGCGGTCAGCTATTTCCAGTGAAAATCCAGACACAATATTTTTTGAACTGATTGAGCTGCAGGGGACCACAGCAAAGGACATCACTGAAGCACTGTTAGGATGTCTTCATAATAATGGCTTTGACCCTCACTACCTACAGGAACATTTGTTGGCATTTGCTTGTGATGGAGCCTCAGTGATGCTTGGGAGGAAAGCAGGAGTTGCTGCGCAGCTTTGTTCCAAATTCCCTTACCTGTTTGTCTGGCATTGTTCCAATCACAGACTGGAACTGGCAGTTTGTGATGTTTTGAAGGAGGTAGGAGGAATCAACCACTTTAAAATATTCTTAGATCAGCTTTACTCCCTCTGCCATGCATCACCAAAAACCAAAGGGAGTTAACCGAGAGTGCTCACAATGTTGGACAACGTCTCCTTGTGATAGGCCGTGTTTTATCAGTGCATTGGGTTGCTTCAAGTGAGAGAACAGTGAAAGCAGTATGGGAGAACTACCAAGCTCTGCAGGTACACTTTACAAGTGCTGCTGCTGATACCAGCAGTGACTCAAGAGAGAGAGCAAAATACAAATTATTTTATAATTTATTTTATATACATTTTGTTAAAAATAAATTTCAATACCTTTTTGCTCATTTTATTTATGTTCAGTAGCTCTTTCTAGCTCAAGCAAATCCGCAAACTAATAAAATGATTTATTATTTTGTATAAGGTTGTCTGTTGACTGTTGTATATAAAACCCATTCAATAGTTGTTGTTACCTCAGGGGAGGCGGAAAAAAAATAGAGTACCGGCACCTCTTTTGGGCCACTTAAAGCACTGTGCGTAATGAAGCTTCGGACGTCACTGGTCACGTGACTTTTGCCAAACGAAGCAAGCCTCGACACAGTGCTTCTGAACCAGTGTGTTGTTTTTTTCGACACACGCTCCGGAGCGTCAGCTTCAAGCGGGCCATCACTACTTTCCACCTCCGAGTGTCTGCACATTGGGTCCTTCTACTTCCACTCCTGCCTGCACACAGCCTTAACCTGACACAAGTAGTGCTGACATGGGCCGCAAGTGGCCCCCGAGCCGTGAGTTTGAGACCCATGGTTTACCTACTGTCACTGCAGTGATATTAGCGTTTTTGTTTTGAAAGGTTACTAGTGGATGCTGGCAACAATCTTGTAGGAGAACAATACAATCTGTTATAAGGCCTTCATTGGAAAATTGTGTATTTAGAATGTAATACCAACATGTCATTTGAAGATAACATAGTATTTGGGTAAAAGTTACTGAATAGTATTGGAATAAAGTGTGAAAATTGAAGGATTAAAATATCCAAGAGCTCAAATTACTTCACCAAAACATGTTTCAATCATATTTTATCAACACAAATTGCACAGGTTTATTGAATATGAATAACTTCACCTCAGTTGTTTAAGCTCCTGCCAAAGCAAAACATCTGTGTGCAACCAGTGTCCACTATTGAATTAAGTAAACCCAACATGTTCTTTTTCAGTGCATAATCACATTTAGTGAAATAAACTATTAAACCATAATTACATATTAGGATTTAGCCAAGTGTTAGGATGTAATGCAGAGAAGTATTTCTAGTAGGCTTTTTTTCATATGCCTGTTTTCATTTTATTTTCTAATTTTTAAAGAAGGCTTTAGAAAGGTCAAAATAAATCTTCTGTAAGGGAGTATCAGCTATTCTAGTATTTATTTTACCAATGCACGGGTGCATTAATACAACATATGTATTTCATAAAGGGCGAACACAAATGTCCAAAGAGACTTCCTGGCAGCTGCCATTTTAAGTATAACCTCTGGTACGGGCACGTTCAGTTTGCAGCAGCTATACAACAGTGGCCTCTAGAGGTGTTTACACACTACGACCAAATCAGACAATGCAGCACAACACGCAGGTTGCCCCAATGAATTGATTAAGCTGGTAGCAGTGACTTGTTAACTTATCATTTATCAAACATATCTCCCATGAATGATGTGAAATAAATTTGAGGCATAACATTTACGTCACAAGTTAGAAGTTGCAATCAGTTTTTAGGAAAGTGAGTTTAATAAGAGTATAGGTAAAATAATGCAGTAATTTTTTAGATTTTATAATCCCTTTATAAATCATGTTGGCTACAGCCTATTTAGCAGTGCAACAAGAGCATCAGACAAACAAATAGAATATGTATAGTGACAGTCAGGTCTTGGCAGCTGATCATGGCATCTGGTACAAGACTCCAACCCCCCCCCCCCCAAAAAAACCCCACTCCGTCTGGACTGACGTGTATGTATACTTACAACCAAACAGCTGAAATTAACTGTATTAACCCCGGTTATCTTTTTTCACGTATTTACTACTATTTCCTTTTTGGAAATAGACTTTTTAAAATCACTTTTAATTTTATTTCAAAATGAAATATACAGTATTAAAATTAAAATTTAATTTGTTAATAAGACATATATTCAGCAGTGGAAATAAAATTAAAACAGACTTATACCTACATTAAAAGACAACAGAACATCAAGGAATGGCCTAAGTCTGTTAATGCAACAGTGCGTAAACAGTGTGAATTATGTAGTAGCTAAATTTGACTATAAATATAAACCAATGTGACAACCTTAAACGTTAGACGCACGGAGCTTCTACAGCTTCTTGTGCTGTTTTAGAAGTGTACACCCCATTTGCAACATTGTTGGGAGTAAATGTGCATATTTATGCCATGGTAAAAGTAGTATAAGCAATAAATACATCGGAAATATTTTGTTTTCGTAATATGAGGACAAATCCGAGCACGGTCTGCGAGCCGATTGTCGCAAATGCTTCACTCCTACTGTGAATGACGACAGACATTCTTAAATAAGATTTGAGCTCTGGTGAAGCCAAGAGTCATTGGCTAAAGTTAGAAAATGCTGCATGCCGATTGGATGCAGTAGCTGTCATTTAATTTCACGCTGCCAATGCACTCAACCACTGACCTACTAACACAGATCCATGAGTCACTAGCCACCTTGAAAGGAAAAAGCCAAGGGAGGAGAGCAAAGTACTTTATAACTTGTAGGATTTTCTTGACAATCATTTCCTTATTAGCTGATGGAAAACCTATGCTGCTTCTGTGTGCATCATACGCGGTGGAAAACCAAACCAATCCCCACAAGCAGGTGATAGAAAAGGTACAGTTTTGATTTGCGGTTAATATTAAATGTCTGGGATTAACATTAAGCGTTGTACAGGTTTGTAGAGGATGGTGCCTGATCACACGCCCAGAAATCACAGGGGCGTTTAGCTAGCTTATATTTCAGTCAGCTGGCTACCTTCTGTGTCCTCGCACAAAACCTATTTTAAATGTAATAACAGCCTCGGTAGTTTCCAAGTTAAAAGTGCGACAAAGCTCACGTTCGAGTGTGTGCTTTTTAAAAAAAATATATAGTTATAACCGGTATAATAGATGTTTAATTTTATTCAGGCACACGGGCCTACCAGTAGCAGTGATTCATAGATTACAACACTGTGTTGAAACACAAGAATGTGATGTGGCTTGTAGAAACATTATCAAAGCACTGTGGCTTCTGTCGATGTGTGGACAACAGAATGGGTCAGTCCACGTCGGGACAGCAAAGTAACGCTTTCTTCTCTGTAATGTTGTAACAGTTTACTTTTCAGGGCGTAGATGGACCTCGCGCTTCAGCCGCCAATGTCATGAGTAACGAAGACAATGATGTCATGTACAGAGTTGAATGCCCACATTGTCTTAGTAAAGTCTGTTACATACAGTGTTAGCTACCTAACACATGTGGACAATTTTAGAGCTATTTTACTTGGACGCAGAGCTGAGCAATCACTGGTCCGTATTGTTATTGCCACACAGGCAAACATTGCATAATGTCTGCACCAATAGAAATTGCTGGCACTCGGGATGGCAGGAGCGGGGCTTATTGTATAATACCGACACAATGAAGGAATCTGGGGCAACAGGACGCGTTGACGGCCCGGTGCTGGAACGCCGAGTCGATCGCTCTGTACTGCTTGTCGCGACTGAACCAGCAGCAAACACTCGGTCAGCACCCACCCTCCAAGTGTGCACGTTGCGATAACATCGCCACCGTTTTTAATCATGTATGATCCAAATTTAGGCACGATGTTTTGTTGCCTCGTTAAAAAAAAGAGAAAAGGACGCGTTCGTCAACGCCAGCTGGGGTTTGCACATCGGCACCATAAAATCTGTAGTAGACTGCGTAAGGGGTTCAAGTAAATGAAAAGAGAAATATTTCTCCTGTATTTCAAATGGATTTGTCGGGGATACAGCGCCTTCTTGCTTCTAAAAAGTGGGAGACCAAATTGTAACACACAAAGTTAGTGTCTGAAAGTTACCAGACTATAATGTATACACAAGTCTGTGACCTATTAGTCATGTCTCTCTCTTCCTAAATGTAGACCCAAGTCAAGGACAAAACGAGGGCACAGAGTCAAGAAGAAACATTTGAGGAAACTGTATCACACCCTAAACATAATTTTTTCTAATTAAAAATCTTTCTGCTCCTCTTCTAAATACCACTGTTTGCTGCAGTGAGTGTGAAAGACTAGTTCAAAAGAAATTATTCAGGTTACAGGCTTCGTGTTTCTCATTTTTTGTGATATCATGCCTTTATGTCTATTTTCATCATTTTGAATAAAAAAGTTTGTTTACTTCAATTTCCTAAGCTTGGCATGTGCAAAAGAACTGCTACTTTAAATTTTAATCAAGGTAAATCATGGGGAAGCACCAATTTATTGGCCAGGCATTGGAACTGACTGATATACCTTGTTGACTGGTATCAGGCTATTGGTAAATAAGATGACATTCACCAATGACATCTTTAAATATTTATCTGTTACACAGCATGAATTTTGAAATCTGTTGAAGGAATCCAGTTTCTGAAAGTTAAATGATTATATGTTTTCTTCATGTTTTTTTTGTACTTTAATGAAGATTTCTTTGTTTCTCTGACACAAAGTAGGAAATGGTAATAGCAAAACTAAAAAGTAATTACCTTGATATTAACTCTCCCTATTAACCACATTTTACTCTTCTACAAATGTATTTTCAGAAATATACTGGACTCATAATTGCAGCCTTAATGTTTTATGTGTAGAGCACAAAAATCTGAATAAGCTTTAAGTGGATGATAATATACAATCTTTGATCAGCACAAGTAAATATTAAAGTATCATGGTAACTTGTTTGACATTGTTTCAACTAAACTCTGACGAAAAACATTTCTGTTGTGTCTTATTCCACAGATTTCTTCAACTCAAGCGGATTAATTCCATGTGACAGTTAATTTTGCTCGATACAAGCATTATGGTATACAGTTGAAGATCTTTTAGCATGCTGACAGTAGCAAACAGTAATAATATGCAATCAATAAAGCAAGAAGTGGACTCCAATCAGTCCTACAGTGGAGAGGATGCCCTGTGCCTGGCTGTGGCTTTACAAGGGACCAACAGAGACCTCCTGAGCCACAAAATCTCTGCACTTCCTTTCAAGGCTAAATCTGCTTGTCGTAGGAAAAGGGAGTTTATCCCAGAGGAAAAAAAAGACACCCTGTACTGGGAGAGGCGTCGTAAAAACAATGAAGCAGCCAAGCGTTCAAGGGAGAAGCGACGCATAAATGATATGGTGCTAGAGAACAAATTGGTAGCACTTGGCGAGGAAAATGCCTCCCTCAAGGCTGAGCTGCTGTCATTGAAGTTGAAGTTTGGATTGGTGAGCTCGACAGCATATGCCCAAGAAGTCCAACGGTTATCCAGCTCCGCCGCTCTTAACCTCCACCAAATGTTTATTCCACCCAATGCTAGCCAAGGTTTTACCAGCAAAGAAAAGGAGCCTATTCACCTGCGCAGCAGCTGCATATCAGTCATCAGGCATTCACCTCATATGCCCAAGACATTTACCGCAACTCAGGGTAGCTTTACTGTCTGCAGGAATGCAGAGGTCAAGCAGGAACCGGGAGAGAATGGCAGCTATAGACAAGAGCAAGGTAGTCCCTATGAACTCTACAAACCTGGCATAGCCAGCCCTTTGTCTGGAGTCTACACTCAGTCTGCATCATTCATGCAGATCATGAGGTCATCTAGTAACTCACCCAGGAGCTCGGATGATGGTGCAGTTAGCAAATCATCTGATGGTGAGGATGAGCAGCAGGTCCCCAAAGGGTTGATGCCATTTGTAGTAGACCCAAGAAGCATCATTGTCTCCACACATAAAGTGCCAGATGGTAGTTCTTCAGCTTTACCCCATAAACTGCGGATTAAATCCAGAACCGTCCAAATCAAAGTGGAGGCAATCGACCCCGAATACGAATCCTCTGGAAAGTCCTCTTCTCCTGTCAGTATTTCAGAGGGAGAATGCTACCAGGCCACAAAAAGCACTTTTGGTTGCACACAGGCTTCTCACTGCCCTTTGTCAGTACAGGTCACCAACATGCAAGACTGGAGCCAGCAGTCTGAGCAATGGCATGTAAGCCACGCAATGACACTGCAGGGTGGGTGCACGAATAATGATGAGTCCTCAAGCCCCGTGTCAAACAAAACCATTGTGGATGTAAAAGACTCTTCCTATGCACACTTGCATGCAGAAGACTGGTATGTAAAACAGAGCTTTGGCACCCTGTCTCCCAGAGCAGTCGCTTCCAAAAGAGAACAGGTACCTGGAATAGATTCTACCAAAAGCGTCGCTGATCATCATGAGACATGAGTTTCTCTGAATGACAATTGTATGCTTAGCATTATATTTGCTGTTTCACTGTGTGGACATTTGGGTTAAACAATGTTTTCTTTTGGTAAATTTTCAAATAAATGAGTTTGAATAAAATACTAGAGTCACAAATAATAGTTTTTGTGTATCCAGGCTATTTTCCAGTGAAGGTTGAGGAGAAATGGAATTACCCACATTGTCATATGATAAATTTAGTATAATATTCCTGTTCCTCTTACAAAGGCTATTTCACTTAATAATGCCAGTTCATTGTACTTTGGCTTTTTCCAATCCAAACTTACTGTTAATGAAACCAACACTTTATGGCATTGTTTGTGTTAAATTACATCATTAACAGATGGGTTTTATGTCATTTAACAAAGCAGGAAGCTATTTAATGTGAAGTGAACAGTGGAGAAGACTGGAATGTTGAAGTGGTAATTGGAACTAGTCTATGTAGCAGCAGAGTGGTGAAAACTGATAAAGGTTAAACTGTACGTGACAAATTATTCAGCATCATGTCCCTCCACGTTTTGCAAAGTAAAATAGGATCACATGCATAAGTAGCCTAAGTAAGGATTTTCTGGGTACTTTGAGAATTTGCTATAGACTGTTATTGTGTAAAACATTGTGAGTGAAAGGTTTTTTTTGGTTTGTTTGTTTTCAAGAGTCCAAACTGTTCATGATTGCTATCATAGAGCGTTGCCTATTGATATGTACCTGCTGTTGTTGAGCGCTGCTTTTTTCTTTTTTTTTCTTTTATTTTGTGGCGCTGAAAAAAGGTTCCAGTTGTTAACAGCAGCCCTCCCCCCTGCTGTCAATTTGTGGCCAGGAGCAGCCTGGCCATTATTTGCCTTGAAGCTGAAATTCTTCATGTTTTAAGTCATATTATTGGTTTGTATGTTTGTGTAGTGCCAGATTACTTTTCTTTTAACAACTTCCTTAAAGTGAATGAAAGTTTTATACTTCTTTTCAGAATTATTTTGAGGAATTGGTTTGAAAGTTACAGATTGTTAAGAGAGCATTTGTGTTCAGCCTTGTTCTTTTGGTAATGTAAAGCCTGCTTATTGACATTAAACATTCATTTAACAGCACCTGGAGGCTTAAACATTTAGTCAATAACATTGTCACAAACTTCCACCAGTGGGCTGAAACACAGCCACATCCCTACTGGAGTTTAAGAAAAGAATGATACAGATTTTGACTCAAACTTTAGTACAACTTTTAAATAGGCTCTGCTTCACTCACTGTTTCACTGTTTGCCAAACTTTGTTTTGCTTTTTCATTATTTTGTTGATTACTTAAACTTTCCAGGCTGCTGGTTAAAGCGAGATTGTGAGTGACATTTGCTGGAGAATTGTACATTTCCTTAACCTTGACAGGACTGTAGTTGGATTTTGCAAAGCTTTGAAATATTTTTGAATTACACAATGCTCAGTTTATGGAAGAAAGGATCTCAACCCTAAAGTTTCTGTTACTATGTAGAATCCAGAGCCATCAGTAATCATCATCATCATATATGCCTTGTTTGCTGTTTGTAGCAAATTGGGGTGGTCACATATTACTATGTGACTTTCTATATAGTTAATATAAATGAGCAAGTTAAATCAAACATAGCTGGTATCATGTCAAATAATTTACTTTATTTCAAATACATTGTATGTGCATATTATGCCATAGTTGGAAATGATAATCATAACTCATTTTTTCCAGCAGCTTCAAGCTTTATTGTAATGTGAGCTTTTATTCACAATAAATGTCCTGTCATTAAATATATGCTTTCTTTCTTTCTTTTTCTTTCCTGAAGCTAATACTAAATGTGATATTTGTGATTGAAAATTATATTTTGGCTATATTTTCAGCTATGTCCCTTTTCTTTTATAGTATTAGGTCAATCATTAAGCAGTCATGTTGCCATAAGTCAGATCTCCCAGCATCCAAGTGGCTTTCAGTTTTTATTTTTACTCAGTGAGGAAAGACTTTCTAGTTCTTTTCACGTAATATGGCTGGATTAGGAAACACACTAGAAAATAATGCTACAGTAGCAAATTCATTTAGATGTAAAACCAACCTCTTCAGTTGTGTTAAGAATGCCTAAAATCCATCAATCCATTTGTTTTATGACAGAACAGCAAAGAGAAAAATTCTCCAAAAGTTGTTGATTCAAGCTGAAACTGTGTGGATAGCATACTGCCATTGGGAATAGAGAACACTCACCAAAAGAAATGGGTTAGTCATGTTTGTAAATCATCATACAATTAAAAACAGTACAGTTAAAATAATCTGAGTTAGATTTAGCATTTGCTTTTGTTTGTTACTGGTTTAGAGAAATCACTGCAATAAGAAACATAATGTTACAGCTTTAATGTGTAATTTTATATAAACACTACTCTATATAAACACAAAATACGTTTTCAACTTAAGGGACTCTTAAAGTAGAATTTTCAGTTCTGAGTTTAGCTTTCCAATGAGTTCAAGAACAAGTGTAACTTCACCTACTTTTTCTCCTGGTCTCTCATTTTCCTCCTTAGACACTGGTGATCTAATCAAACATAAGAACTGTCAAAGAGATTAAGATCCCCCCATCTTTATCCAAAATATAAATAACAGTACTTAACATCCAGTCTTTTCATCAATAAGGGATACAGAGTTTTAAACAGGGTTTATCTGAATGCAGTTTTTGCTAATAGTTATTATGCTTAATTCTAATCATATTATATCCAACTACAAGTTTAATTAATATCCATCGGGGCATTCACCAGGGCATACCCGGAACACCACACCCAGGAGGCATCCTATTAGATGCCCAAACCACCTCCACTAGCTCCTTTCGATGTGGAGGAGCAGCAGCTCTACTCTGAGCCCCTCCTGGATAGCCAAACTCCTCACCCTATCTCTAACAGGACATATTAGCTGCATTTAACCTTCAGTTACTCTTTATATAGTTAGGTAGGAGTCAGACCATGTTTATTTTTAGCTGAAAAACATTACACCAGTACCTGCAGTGTTGAAAACGTGTTTTCCGACAATGTTTGCTACCCTACAATCCGTCCTGCTCTGTAGTAAATCAGCGACATTTGACCGTCCTGTTGCTCCATTGAAATGTATACAGCCAATTTAAAATCTAAAACTTTAAATTGTCTGCAGCCTGCTGTTGTTACCACTGTCCTGTTTGACATGGATACTAACTAGCTAACTGACTGAATGCCCATTAACCTTAGAACACCTGTTGTTGTGTGTGTGTGGTGTGTGTGTGTGTGTGTGTGTGTGTGTGTGTGTGTACAGAGAGACAGCCAGGTTCATAATAGATATAAGGAAGTTTTTTTCAAAAAAAGGACCCACATTCAGGTAAAAGTGTAAATCAAATGATCGATCAATCAAGAATGATGTTGGATCAGTGTTTCAATGTTATATCTCTTATTAGATGTTCACGTGGTTTGGTTATTTGCCTTTTGGTTGAAAATACACTGAGAGAGGACTTTTTGTAGTGATCTTAATAGAATTTTTTCATATTAATGTAATTTTTCATCTAATTGAATACAATCTATTTGTGTATGATTGCCAGCCCAAAGAGGGAGAGAGGAAAGAGGGAACGTGAGGAGAAAGTACAAGGTCAGGAAGAACCAGGTAAGAAAACAGACAGGGAATAGTGACAGGCACAACAGAAACTGTTAAACTGGCAAAGAGAAAAAAAATCTGATTTTACTCACAATCTGGAAGTTGTGTCCTCCCTATATTAAAGCTGCTAAACAGAATCTGCAAAACAAACTGGGTTGAAACATTTTTGACCCTCTTTAACAACATTCCAACATCACGTTATAATTGATTAGGGAGATTAAAATTAATTATATATTTTTATGTGGTTCAGCCACAACTCTACTAAAACCTCAGCCAGTAATAGGTAGGCCAATTTTTGGACCGTCCCAATTGTCTGTATGACTGCCACAGTAGGTACATCACATTATCAGAAAGTGCCAAACAGCCCTGGTGGAGTGAGGAGCTGTAAAGAGAAGCAATGTTCTGTTTATATTCTAAAAATGTTTTAAGTTTGTTTCAAAGATTCTGTACAGCAGCTTTAAATGTTTTCCAAAAGCACACATACACTTAACTCATCAGTGTTTCTCAAACTTTTTACAGTGTGTACCACCTGATAAAAATGTCAAGCTCTCCCAAGTACCACTATGAAAGCATGAAAGTCATAAATCGTACAACACAAAATTATTATTATTAAATTAGTAAAATTAGTATCTGCAATAAAGCTTTTTTCATACATTGTATACATTCAACCACGGGCAAAGTTGCCTCCATTTCTATAGTTTTTATTAATATTTTGTAATAATTAATTCTGTTTTGGGAGTGTTTTTTATGTATCTGTATTATATTAAACACACACATTAAAAGTGAATCTCTATCCAAAAAATGCACTCAGTTTACTTTTTACTCACTATGAGCATCATTCATTATTCTCCTCCAGTAATTAAGGTTAGGATATGTACTTTTTCTATTCCAATCCATTCTTCTTTTGCAGCATTTAAATAACCTTTATCAGATTTGATGGTTTTGTTACAGACTTTTCAAAAAAGTGTTTTGCTTTTCTTTCACAAATGTGGGATTAAATTGTGTTAAAATGCCACAGCACCAATTCGCCTGTTGATCTCCAACTTCCTTCCCCCCTCACTCGTGAACCTATCTATATCACGTTATATCACGTTATCCAAGCCAAAATCGATTTTAATCAATAAATCGATAATCAAAACCCACCTCTAATGGGAACCACCACTCCGGTCTGCCAATCCAGAGGTACTGCCCCTGATCTCCCATGCAACATTGCAGTAGCTTGTCAACCAAGACAGCCCTGCAACATCCAGAGTCTTCATGAATTCAGGGCAAACCTTTTAA